CTCCGAGAGAGGTTAGAGCCCCTGGTCGTGACCTCCACCACGAGGACTCCGAGAGGGGCCTGCAGACCTCAAATGCTGGCCTGTTAATTCTGCTTCAGGACTGTTCCCAAGGCTCTTTGATGGTGCCAGGCCTCCTAAAGGGTCCAAGGGGACACCCTACCTTTCTGAGACCTTTCTCCAAAGCTGAGAATTTGGGAGGGGGCGGGGTTGTGTCCCTGCACACCCCCACCAGGTCATCTGCTCCCCATCCTGCTGGCCGAAGTGTCCATTCCCACCTGGGCAATAGGCCACCGTCTCTCCCAAGCAGGCAGTTAGCCAATGCAGGGGTCTGGGTGCAGCCCTCAGGAAAGTATGCGTTTCGTTACCTTAGTCTGGCTATGAACCTCATTTAAAGACACCCAGGCTGGGGCGCCTGGGGGGCTCAGTTGGTTAAGTGTCTGACTTTGGCTCAGGTCATGACCTTACAGCTTGAGTTCCAGCCCCTCGTCAAGCTCTGTGCTGATAGCTCGGAGCCTGGATCCTCCTTCCGATTCTGTGTCTCCCTCTCTGCCCCTCCCCCTGCTCACGTTCTGTCTGTTTCTCTCTCAAAAATAAACAAACATGAAAAAAAAATCTAAAACTATAATGAAGTCATCAAGGCAGACACCAGCCTCACAAGATGGTTAGGAGAATCAGTGCCAGGATGACAGTGGCTTTAGTAGGAAAATGCAGTGCTGGGCAGTGTCAGGAGTGGCTGGGAATCCGGGCTGGCGTGGAGACCCGGGCGGGAGGGGTCCTTCTCTTCCGGCAAGGCCGCAAATGTGCCGAGGCTCGCTTTCAAACTCCTGTGAGAAAGAGCTTGATGGGTCCAGTGTGGGTCAGGTGCGCTCTCTGAGACCAATCAGCTATGGCTGTAAGAACACTTCTTGCAGCCCTGGGGTGCCTGTGTGTGCGCTCACATGCACGCGTGCTCACGCATGTGTGTGTATGTGTGTACAGGGGTGAGCGAATTCCCAAAGAAGTCACCACGAACTAGGCTTCCATCCCCCACAAGTGTCCACGAGAGCAGGGGTAGTACCCCTGGTCCACAAAGGGTCCGACTGTGAATAGCTGAGTCTCTGCAGTCCGCATGTCTCCGTGGTGATGACTCACCTCTGCTCTTGTAGTGCCTGGGCAGCCGCAGGCAGCAGATGGAGACCAAAAAGAACGAGAGAGACCATGTCCCAATAAAACGTTGCTTTCAAAACAGGCAGAGGGCCAGATTTGGCCTGGGAGCCCTAGTTTAACAATCCCTGAATTGTCCCATGTTTGTTTTTAACTTTTCATTTCCTGTTTGTCGTGGATCTGAAGCTGCATCCCTTGCCCCCGGCTCCCCTGTCCCCCCTCCCTGGTCCCCTGTAAAGAAGGACCTGCTGTCCAGATGCAGGGAGGGTGGCTAACACACGGAGCCCACCTTGGCTTCCTCAGGGACAGCGTCAGCTGCACGGAGCCACCTCATCTGAGGTCAGGGAGGGACCAGGCAACAGGGTGCTTGGTTGGACAGGAAGGCTTGGTTGTTTGGGCCCTGAGCCTCCCACTTCTTGGCCCAAGGCTTTGAGGGGCCCGTGCCACAGTTGGAAGTCCACCTCTGTCCAGTTTTATTGTTCGAATCATACGTGCATACCTTGGAGAAAACAATTGTTAAAGACACCCCAAACTTGTAACATCACATGAGTATGTTACAAGCAATAGATGCTCTGAGGGCCTGGGGGCTGAAGTCTCTGCAGGCTGAAGCGGTGAAGTCTGGCTTCCCAGAAGAGGAAACAGGGCTGCGACTCAAGGGTCCTTAATGAGTGAATATGCTGAGTGGTGCAATGCGCAGGTGCTGAGTCAGGTGCTGGGGCGGGGGGGTGGCTTGCTGAGGGAGGCAGCTTGCTGGGGGCGGGCGGCTTGCTAAGAGGCGGTTTGCAGTGGGTGAGCCGCATGCCTTGTGGGATGGCCACATGGGCAGAGGCTGCTATGGGGAAGTGTTCACCTGAAGGAATGGGCTGTTAGGAGAGGGACACAGGTCCAGTGCTCAGGGGACAGGGAAGGCTGGTCCCCCAGCAGGGGTGCCTTGGGCTTGGGGCTGGGAGGGGCCTGGGGATGACTCCGCCCACTCTGGGGACTCTGTCATTCTTCATGCCTAATAGCATCTCTGTGCCTCCAGTTCTGTGTCACCGTGAGGGTCTGGGGAAGGAACACAGGAAACCCAGCCCCCCCCCCACCCTCCACCATTCCTGTCATTCAGTCACAGAGTCTTCCCCTGGGTGCTGTGCCGGGGCCTTCCAGGGAACCGGCTGTGGCCATGCTCCCTGAGAAGCCATGGTCCAGGGAGGGACACACCCACATACTTCCCAGGGACGCTGTCACAGGAGCCGCGGCCGGGACCCAAACCAGGTGCCTGGGAGGGAGGGCCTTCTGGAAGTGAAGGAGCGGCATGGAAGCAAGCATGGGATTGTCACAGGCAGACCGGCTCGATGTGGGCCCTGACAAGGAACGGAGAGCACTTCTGGGTGGGAGCCTGGGTGAGGGCTCTTGGGGCGGGGGCACAGGGCAGATGGCCTTGTGAAGGTGCCCAAGTTACTGAGCGTTCTACATGTCACAGGGACAGGTGGGGTCCTACCCAGGCTCAATAAGGAGCCACAGTGGCGGTGTGTGATATTTCATCACGCCCACTTTGTGACTGAGGAAGGTGAAGTCCAGAGAGAAGCTTCAGGCTGCACAGCCAGTCAGCAGCCAGGCCGGCTTTGCCCTGAGGTGTGGGGGCCCCTCTCCCTCACCTCTGTGCCAGTCGGCGCTCTGAACCCCGGAGCCTGGGGCTCTCTGAGCATCGCCCTCCAGTCCCAGGGACAGGGACATTCTGCCCTTGCCCCAAACCCTCCAGGCTCAGACCCACCTGAGAGCCCAGGACGTCTGCTTCCAAGATGGCCATACCTGTCCTGTCTCCATTTACTCACACACCAGCTCCAACCGTGCAGCCCATGGGGGGACGGGGTGGGGACCTTTGGCAATAATCAGTCATTCACCAGAGTGCTCCTCAGTGCAGGTGTGTGACAGGCCATGGATCCCCTGGAGGCGAGGACAGACACACGGGCCGAAAAGCCTCATGTGCGGAGACCCCTTGACCCTGATAATTCTCTCCCTAAAACTGACCCTAAGAGTCCTAAGTGCAGTCAGGAACCCCTAGTCTGTGCTGGGGGGTGCCCACTGAGCAGGGGTATCCCCTTTCAAATGAGCAAAAAAAAATTTTAAAAATGAATTTAATACTTCAAACGAGGCATAAGGCATCAAGGCAAACCCAGGACTTTGCCAGATGTCTTCACCCCTATTTTATTGCTTGTATTTATTATTGCGTCTTGTAGGGTGGGGGGAGGGGCGGGCGAGGGCACCCAAGGTTGCCAGGGCTCAGGGGAGTCTTAATCTGCTCTTGGGGGGGTGGATCATGAGAATACAGCCACAGGGGACTGTGTCAAATAAGGAAACAATTAGAAACAACTGCAGTGTCCAGCGATAGGGGGGTGGGTCCCCTAAATCAGGGCATGTAGTGTGGCTGTGCCCTGGGTGTTGTTAGCAAACCTGAGGGGTTTTAATGGTCTGGAGACAGAGTGGCCTATAGACCTACACGCCAGCTCAGCAGATATAAAACAGGGCTCAACAGAATCCACCTTTTTATTTTTTATTTATTTATTTTTTAACTATAAAGGCAAAGAAAAGCCTGGAAGGAAGTATTCCAGAATGGAAGAAGTACACATCTGTAGCTAGAGGAATCGGGATTACAGGTGACATTTATTTTAAATTATTTTAATTGTGTTGTTGTGTGTTTCTCAATGTTTCCATAACGGATACAAATTACTCCAGTAATCAGTTAAAACCCTCAGTGGTTTGTGGAAAGCATTGGCCCAGCCCTTGCCGAGCTCTTCGGGGCTCCGTTGGGAGCAGGTGGAGCGGCTCGGTGGGGCGCTGGGAGGGGCCTCCTGCCCCGAAACAGAACCACCCAAAACTCTGGCTCTGAACAGCCCATCAGGATGCGAGTGCCCACCGATAGGGTGGAATCCCAGGCTATGAAGGGCCCCGCATGGAAACTGCCCTGATTGGTTGTGAAGACCCAACTGGCGGGGTCCACCACCCGCTTCCTGCCGGAGCATGCACCCAGGGAGGCTCTGCACGCCACGCTGGGCCCTCCCACCGCCCAGGTCCACCCCTGTGCACCCCTGGTGGGCACGGCCCCAGGCCCAGGCTGAGGTCCGGAGGACACGGGGCCCCTCCTGAGCAAGCAGCCTGCCCAAGGCCTCGAAGCTGGGTGAGGATTGCTGAGAGGACGAGCCACTCATCCCCACCCCTGGACACCCACCCTCATCTTCCCTGAAGCCTCAGAGTGTCTAGGAGTGACCATGTTGACGCCATCATGTTTAGTGTTTACTGAGGGCCATCCCGAGGGCCCTGAGTGGGGAGTGCGACACACTGCAGACCAGTATGTGAAAGAAGGCACTTACAGAGGGTGACAGAGGGTGAGGGGAGGCCAGTTCCCTGGGAATCAGGGTGTGCTTCCCAGAAGAGGTGACATTCAGAGCTTGCAGACTCTTGAGACAGTCAGATTGGCAGATTGGCGGACTGATGCATTTTTATTCGCATTGGTAACAACGGTGGAATAGGAGGCACTCTGTCTAAAGGATGAAGGTAAGATTTGGGAGGTAGTGGGACCACTAGGGTAGATATTCCAGAACACTCCCTGGGCATGGGACTTCCTGCCCTGCGCCTTGGATGTGGCGCCCCTCCCCTGGCCTCACCCCCTGGGACCCACCCCTCCATCCCTGGGCCCAGGCTGCCTGCCCATGGGTATCTGCCAGGGAAGGGACAGCAGCCCCAAGCCGACTCCTTGTCCCCACATCTGCCCTGGCTTCGGTCTGAAGTCCCTGGTGCAGGAAGATAGCAGAAGAAAGGAGCTACATTTAATTCAAGTTGAGAGAGAGAATATTTATTGCATATGTGCTATATGCCCATTGTTGTTGCAGGCAATACGTAGAGTTCAGGGCAATACTTTAATCAGAGAAACTGCAGATCGTGTCAGACTATGTGTACTCTGCGGACGGATTATGTGTGTGCCGGGGTCCGTGTCTGATACGTGTTATGAATGGCATGGAGAGCTTCCTGAAGGAGGTGGGCTTGAAGACTGAGATGACTGGGAAAGGCAGGGGGCGGCTTGGTAAGGCAGGCAGGGCGGTGGAGGCTGAATGTGAGGCCAGGAGGCAGATGGCGGCAGGTGGGAGCAGGCCCTGCATGAGGCCAGTCGCTCTGGGAAGGATGAGGGCTCTGGAGCCAGGCAGCTCTGCCCCTGATCAGCTCTGTAACCCTGGGCCGGATTCCAAGCATCTCTGAGCTACAGTTCACTCATGCATATAGCTTGGAGCAGAGCCCTCCCCTGTGGGAACGTCGGGTTGAAGGGTCTGGAACTGGACTCAGAGACCTGTAAGGTTGCCGTGTGGGTCAGTACGACCTGGGATAAGCGTTTCACCTCCCAGGGGCGTGTTCCAGGAGGGAAAGAGCAGAATTTCCACATACCCCTGACACCCTCATTCAGACACGGCCATGCACACTGGCCACGGCCTCCCCTTCCTTCCTCTCCCTTCCCCACCCTTCTTCCCTCCAGGAGCAGAGGGGACATATGCAGGAACAAACGCTGAGCCCCAGTCCCTCCGTCACTCACTGTCCCATCAGGATGCTGCTCTCAGCCTAAAGAGACCCCCGAGGGGCCTAGGGGGCTCCTAGCACACGTTACCACGTTCAGCCCCCCAAATGGGCCAGATGATCTCTTGTGGTTCCTCTTGCATGGGTGCATTCCAGCTGGTATGCTGCTGTTTGATTTCTAGCTTATAAAGTATTGTCTGAGTTTCCTCGTCTGTAAAATAAGGGTGGTAATGCTTATTTCGGTTCTAGGAGTCGGAACACCGGCTTGCAGCAGTTTGCCATCCAGGGGGTGCCCTGGGGACTCTTTGTGCCTGTGCAGATGCGGGGCAGACTCCGGTCAGAGGCTGGAAGGAGAGGTGGGACCCCAGTACCTGGCATCTAAGGAGAGGTGCAGAAGATGTGGGCCCAACAGACAGTCCAGGGGCTGGATCTGTGGCCATGTGGAGAGAGAGGCAGAGACAGAGGCTGGGGTGCTCGGGGAGACTCCGGGCTGCTGAGGGAGCCCAGGGGACATGTCTGGCCCCCAACATAGATCCTGGCAAACCGGGAGAGATGAGACAAGGACCTGAGTGGGCATGTTGCTGAACAAGGGCAGTGGGGGGGGGGGGGGGGCGGGGGCCTTGCAGCCATGTAGAGGGTGCTCAGAGCCACTCTGCCTTCACCGTCCACGCCAACCTGGGGTCGCCAGTGAGACTGGATGGGGGGGCGACGAGGTGATGCGAACAGCAGCTCCTGTTTCTCCAAATCTGCTGGGTTCTGAAATGTGTGAAGTCTCTGGGAAAATACTCCAGGCTTCACCACACGTCTTGGGACTGTGCTGGGCCCGACCGGGGGCCATCAGGCAGTGGCCCGCCTGACAGCAGTGGCAGCAGGGATCTGAACAACACATTCCGGCCTCTTGGGGGCAAGAGGGTGAAGAATGAGATGCGGGAGGACAGTAGGGGAAACAGGGCGGCTCGACAGAGCTCCGATGGGCCTGGCCCTGGCTGGCTGAAGGGTAAGGAAGGAAAGGTCCCATCCAACAGTTATATTTTAGAACCAATGGAAACATCTGGATCATTGGTCCAACCCTTTCAGGAATCCACAGAGTGGGGGGGACTGGCCTAAGGCCACAGCAGAAGACAGGGAGAATGACATCTAGGGTATGGTGGCTGGAATTGGGCTGGAAATGATCCTCTGTGCCCTGGTGGCTTCCTAATGGTGGCCCTAAAAGGCTGTGGGCCTGTCTGTGTGGTCAAAAATGAGACCCTGGTGGAGAGCAGCCTGGGAGCAGCCCCATCAGGAAGAGGGGGAGCCTCCTTCCCTTGACTCTTACCTCCCAAGTAAGTGGTAGGTCCTCCCCGAAGCAGAGGATGTTGTCAGGGTGCTGAATCCAGCCTGTCACTGGGAGGCCAGCCCCCTCCTCGCCCCGCCCCCAGCCTGTGCCCAGTGCCCAGCGGCCACTGCCTCCATCCCCGCCTTCCCCGTGAGGGAGCCATATTGGATGTGGAAGCCCCAGGCCCGCTCACACCTTCAGATGACTGCAGTCCTGCTGCCACCTGGGCCGGAGCTAAGGAACAGACCTGAGCCAGAGCAGCCTAGCTGAGCCACTCCTGAATTCCTGTCCCTCAGAAACCATGTGAGGTAATAAATGTTTATTGTTGTTTTAGCTACCAAGTTTGGTGGGAATTTGTTATGCAATAACAGAGAAGAGCACAATGGCTGAAGGAGGGGTGTGGTTCAGTTGAGGCACAGAGGAGGCAGGCCTTGGTCAGGCATGTCCTTGTGGGCCAGGTGAAGTGGATGGGCTCAAACTCAAACCTAAAGCCCTGGGGAGCTCTGGATGGGGGTGGGGTGGGGTTGTCAAGCAGAGGCGAGGCACAGTGCAGCTTCACAAAGGGCACTCTGGGGTGTGTGGGATGGACAGAGATCTGGGTAGGCACAAGGAGGCAGGCAGAGACAGCAATTAAGAGGGTCCAGGTAGGAGACCTCCAGGCCTGGTCCAGGGGTGAGGGGTACATGCCCATAGAGAGAAGAGGATCCGCGAGAGAAATCGAGGGGTAAAGGAAGGTGATGGGGGCATGGTGACTTGGACTCGGGGAGTCAAGGGGAAGATGGGGTCAGTGCTGAAGCCTCTGCTCCTGCTTGGGGCATAAACACGGGGCCCCACTGAGCGAGCCTGGGAGCCAGGGGGTGAGGCAGATCTCTGGGGATGACGATAAGTTCAGGAGTCTGAAGGAGGGCCGTTGGGGGCCATCCAGGGGTTAGGTGGGGTGCAAGTCTGGAGCTGAAGAGTGAGGACAGAGCTGCCTTATGGCCTTGAGGTGTTGAGCATCCAGGTTGCCCCAGAACAGGCATCGACCAGAGAAGGGAGGGTGGCTATGAGGCCTAGGGAAAGCCTGAGCACTGGAGGCCTCATGGAATAAGGGGAGGGGTCTCCATGAGTAGAGGTGGGAGTGCCATGTTGGAGGCCACTCAAGGGGCAAGTCAATGAGGATTACAAAGTGCCCAACAGGACTAGAGACCAGAGGGTCACGGGCGCCTTGGCCAGAGCCATTTTGGTGGATTGGGTTTGGGAACAGGAAGAAATCAGGCCAAATGGTTTGAGAAATGAGCAAAAAGTGAGGAAGTGGATACCTGGGGTGTAGCTCCTCTGTCAAGAAGGGAGGAGAGAGACAGGGCAGGAAGTTTCTGTGTCCTTACAACATGGTGGCTGGCTTTCCCCAGAGGGAGCAATCTTGCATTTGCACATGCCGTTCCCTTTCCCTGGAGTGAACTTTTTGTGCTCTCCCTACATTATCCAGCTAACCCTTGTTCATCCTTCTCTGTTTATCTCAGGTCTCTGTTGAAATGACACCTCCTTACAGAGGCTCCTATAACTGCATCTCTGGACCCCATCCCTTCAGAGCAACCACTGAGAATGCTACACAAAAAGATATACTCAAAATCACTACAGACAAGTCAAAATGGAATTTTAAAAATGCTCAAGTAGCCCACAGGAAGGAAGAAAACAGAAAACAGAAAAAAGAAACACGGAGTACAAACAGAAAACAAAAAAATAAAATGGCAGACTGACACCTTAAGTATCAACCACTACATTAAATATAAAAGATCTAAACTATGCCAATTAACTGACAGAGATGGGCAGAGTTGACTATAAAACACAACCCAACTATATGTTGTCTATAAGAGATCCCCTTCGAATATAGTGATATAGATAAGTAGAAAAGAAAAGGAAAGGATGAAAAGGATGAATCACGATATCATTAATCAAAGGAAAGCAGAAGTGTATAGCAGACTTCAGAGCAAAGAAAGTTATTGGAGACAAGGAGGGACATTATGTAATGATAAAAAGGTCAATCCATCAAGAAGACATAGCAAACCTAAATGTGGATGCACCAAACAACAGAGCTACAAAATATGTGAAGTGAAAAATGATAGAACTGAAAGAAGTAGATAAATCTACAAATGTAATTGGAGAGTCCAACACACTTCTCAGTTGATGACTAGACAGCAAATCAGCAAGGATACAGGATAACTCAACACCATCAGACACCTGGATCTGACCCGTTGAACACTTGACCCAACAACAGCAGAATACACACTCAAGTGCCCACAGAACATATATCAATATAGATCACAGCCTGGACCATAAGAAAACCTCAGTAAATATAAAAGAATTGAAATCCTACAGAGTGTTTTCTCTGACCCCAATGGAATCAAACTAGAAATAACTAGAAACTAGAAAGTAATCCATGAGCCAAAGGGGAAGTGTTAAAAAAATCTTGAAAAGTGTTGGCAGTTGGGGAGGGGGGGTGCCTGGCTGGCTCAGTGGGTAGAACATGTAACTGTTGATCTCAAGGTTGTGACTTTGAGTCCCATGTTGGGCATAGAGATTACTTTAAAAAATCTTTTTTAAAAAGAGGAGGAGATGTTAAGGGGGGGAATACAAGTCCCGGCTTCCCTCTGGCACCACCCAGTAAGGTAATGAGGCTCCACATCACAGCTTGAGTGGATATCTACGCTCCCATGTGGCTTCTGGTGGCAGGGGTAGGGCAAGGCCATTTTTTCCCCCTGTGGCATTTCACTGGGTGGTTACTAACTAAAAATTTTCTGTCTTAATAAACCCTCAAATACTTGGTTGTATGATTTTCAGCAGGGGTGCCATTCAATGGGACCTTCAACAATTGGTGTTGGGAAAACTGGATGTCCACACATACATACATATATTTACATATATGTATATACAGATATATACAAGAGCAAAGTTGGAATCTTACACCACATGTAGGAACTAAATCCAAATGGATATCAAAGACCTAAATATAAGAACTGAAACTATAAAACTCGTACAGGAAAACAGTGGGGAATCTTCATGACATTGGATTTATCAATGGTTTCTCAGCCAGGACACCTGACAACAAAAGATGAGATAACATCTCACACCTATTAAGACAACTGCTATTTACTTATTTATTTTTTTAAATGTTTATTTTTGAGAGAGAGACAGAGCACAAGTGGGGGAGGGGCAGAGAGATAGAGGGAGACACAGAATCGGAAGCAGGCTCCAGGCTCTGTGCTATCAACACAGAGCCTGACACGAGTCTCAGATTCACGAACTGCAAAATTGTGACTTGAGCTGAAGTTGGACACCAACTCAGTTAACCAACTAAGCCACCCAGGTGCCCCAGGACAACTGTTATTTTTTTAAAAAACCCAAAACCAACCAACCAAACAAACAAAAAGCAGAAAATAAGCGTTGGTGAGGTTGTGGAGAAATTGGAGCCTTGTGCTTTGCTGGTGGGAATGTAAAATGGTGCATTTGCCATGAGGGATAGGGTCTTCTCAAAAAATTAAAAGTGGAATTACCATACGATCCAGCAATTTCACTTCTGGGGGTATACGTACAAGAACTGAAATCAGGGTCTTAAAAAGGTATTTGTACACCTCTAGTCATAGCAGCATTATTTACAATAGCCAAAACATGGGCTCACCCCGAGTCCACTGATAGTTGTAGAATACATCTAAAATGTGGCATTTATAAACACACACAACAGGATAGTATTCAGCCTTAAAAAGGAAAGATGTTACACCAAGTGAAATAAACCAGTCACAAAAAGACAAATACCGCAGGATTCCATTTCTGTGAGGTCCCTAAAGCTGTCAAATTCAGAGAGACAGAACATGGAATGATAGTGGTCAGGGCTGAGGGCAGCAGGAATGAGAAGCTGTTTAATGGGGACAGAGTTCCAGTTTTGCAAGATGAAAAGAGCCCTGGGGAAAGACGGCGATAGTGTTTGCCCAGCAGTGTGAAAGCGCTTGATGCCATCAAACTGTAAAAATGGTTACGATGGTAAAGTTTTGGGTTGGTAGACTTTACCGCAGTTAAAAAAAAAAAAAGTTTTCTGTCTTGCTAGACTGCCCCCTTTCTTTGTCGTGTGGTCAGAGAGAGCAGGCTTTTGCTGGGACATTTTTTTGTTTGTTCGTGTCTGTTGGTGTTTCTTGTGGTCTGAATCTGGTATATATGAAGCAAAAGAAAAATAAAAAAATAAAACCCAGCCAGCTCACCACGGTGTGGCTCTTCGTGTCCCAATCCCCTAGCCTGCTGGCCTTCTCTCCACTTTTCAGAGTTCCTCTTATGCTTGTTTTATATGTGATGTTCAAGGTTATTCGTTGTACTTAGCATGTGGATTAGGGGAAAGTGCATCTGCTCCATCTTTCCAGAAGCAGGAGTCTTGGTCTGCTGTATTTGTGTTGTTTCTTCGGGTAATGCTGGTACTCACCAAGGATGGACTACGGAAGTCATCTCTGAGTCCCAAGTTCCCGAGGGCGTGGACTGGGGGCTTCCTTGCTTACAGTGAACCTCTGAGCTGAGCACAGTTGGTCCTGAGCAGTCCTCATGTAAGGCCCCAAACCTTGTTGGGCCCTCCAGGCAGTCTCTGCCCATCCTCCGTGGCATATACCTTCAGTGCTCACTCTTTCGGCCACTCATTTCCTCTTCTCTTGATTCTCTTCAGCAAGAGTTCAGAGTCACCCCCTGAGGTCTCTGGAAGGTTCCTAAAAACTCTTGAAAGGTCAAGTGCACAGCAGCGAAGCTCCCTTTTCCTCCTTCCCCCAAACCAGCCTCCCCATGCCCTAGCCTTCAGTTTGGTCGTGCTCCTTTCTTCTGAGTCCTCCTGGGCCCTGTTCAGGCTCTCGTGCTTCTTGACACACACATAACAGCATCCAGCAGGAGGAAGGCACAGCACTGCTCCAGGTTCGGTCCTTCACGAAGCTCTGGGGAGGGGAGCGGCAGCTCCGTGGGGCCGTCTACACGCCAGGACTTCAGAGGGGTCTCACTGAGTCTCCCCAGTTCTTCAAAGATAGGAGTCATTGGTGCCAATTCACAGAGGCAGAAATGGAGGCTCACGGGAGTTAAGTAATCTACATACCATCACATAGGGGGTGAGCAGCAGGGTCAGGACCAGGAGCCACACGTGGCTTGACTCTGGAGCCCAAGCTCTTTTGGCCTTGTCTTGGAAGGACCCAAAACCTCACCCCAAAAGCCCGAGTGTCAAACCATCATCTGACCCCACGGACCATGCATGG